GGCAAGGCGCACCTAAGCCTCCCCTTCAGAAGATTCGCTCTCTGAACGCACAGGAGGAGAAGCCTAGCCCCTCAACTGAACGACCCATCGACCGCATCCGCGCCGTCTTTCAAGGACTCTCTGCAGAAGAGAAGCAGGAGGTGGTTACCCTAGCGGAAAGGGAGGGTTTTTGAAGCGGTCGCCTACCTTGACGTTAGGACGACCGCCGGTCACGGTATCACCAGTAATTGTAGCAGACGTATCCAAGCAATCCATGCATATACCTGTCTCTCTTACCTGTGAGAACCGAACCGTCGAAACCCATGCCCTTATCGACTCTGGAGCAGGAGGACTCTTTATCGACAAGTCCTTTGCTACCAAGACACAGCTCCCTCTGACACCGTTACCCGCGCCCATCCCTGTCTACAACGTAGATGGAACACCCAACGCCGAAGGATCTATCACCCACGCTGTGCACACGACCCTGAATGCTGCTGGAGTAGACCATGACTCCAAGCTGCTGTCAACGGCCCTCGGCAATGAAACCGTCACTCTGGGCTTACCCTGGTTGCAACAGCAGAAAGCCGTCATCGACTGGGCACACAACACGGTAGAGATCACAGCAACAGACCCAGAACCACCAGTCGAGAACCTATCCCTCGATGACGATGAAGTCCTCTTGGCCTACATCAAGGGCGAACCCGTAATGGGGATCTTTCAGGACACCCTCGAATCACCCCCCACCACGGAGCACCGACACACCGTCTCCCATGATCTGGCGCCCCTCTCTCTCAACCGTGTCTCGCACTGGAAATCCCCGCAAGGAAGGACCTTCTACTCTCATAGAGGAGCTGCGTGGATCAGAGCCAAGATCAACCCATCGCAGGAATTGGCACACAAGTTGGCAACCCCGGACAAGGTATGGGACCTGGATGACATGATCCTAGCATACCTGCACGACTTCAGAGAAACCTTTGAGAAAAAGGCAGCAGAGCGTTTCCCTGAATCCCGTCCTTACGACCATCCAATTGACCTCAAACCAGACTTTGTTCCAAGGAACTGCAAGGTCTACCCCCTGTCCCCAAAGGAGGAAGCGGCACTAGACGAGTTCATTGAAGAAAACCTTCGAAAGGGATACATCCGCAACTCCACATCCCCCATGGCGTCCCCATTCTTCTTCGTCGGAAAGAAGGATGGCTCTCTGCGACCCTGCCAGGACTATCGTTATCTGAATGAAGGAACCGTGAAGAACGTCTACCCGATCCCCCTCGTGCAGACCCTGATCGACAAGCTGCAGGGAGCTACCATTCTCTCTAAGATGGACTTGCGCTCTGGCTACAACAACGTTAGGATCCGGGACGGAGACCAATGGAAGGCAGCCTTCAAGTGCAAGAAGGGACTCTTCAAACCCACGGTGATGTTCTTTGGGCTTTGTAACTCGCCCGCCACCTTTCAGGCCATGATGGACGATCTGTTCAAGGACATGATTGACGAAGGATGGATTGTCATCTATATGGACGACATTCTGATCTTCTCCAAGGATGCAGCCACTCACGCGGAACGTACTCGGCGGGTCCTCCAACGTCTTAAGGAGAACGACCTCTTCTTGAAACCTGAGAAGTGCGTCTTTGACGTTTCGGAGGTCGAAGTTCTGGGCCTCATCATCAGACCCAACGTCGTCGCTATGGACCCTACTAAGCTCGAAGGCATCACTCACTGGCCAGCCCCGACTACCGTGAAGGGAGTCCGATCCTTTTTGGGATTCGGCAACTTCTACCGTCGTTTCATATCCCACTATTCCGACCTCGCTCGCCCCCTTCATGACCTCGCACGGAAAGACACACCATGGAGGTGGACAGACACCGAGCAACGTGCGTTCGATACCCTGAAGCAATGCTTCATCAGTGCACCAGTCCTACAGATGCCGGATAAAACCAAGCCATTCACCATTGAATCTGATGCCTCTAAATTTGCCACCGGCGCAGTTCTCTGTCAAGCAGACATCGACGGAGACATGCACCCCTGCGGTTACCTCTCCCAGTCCCTGGATGCTGCCCAACGGAACTACGAGATCTATGATAGGGAACTCCTTGGAATAGTACGCGCTCTAGAGGAATGGCGACACTACATGGAGGGCAGCTCCTACCCCGTACTAGTCCTATCCGACCACATGAACCTGACCTACTTCCGTACCGCTCAGAAACTCAATCGCCGTCAGGCTAGATGGAGTCTGTTCCTGTCCCAGTTTGAACTCGAATTGCGTCACATTCCTGGCACTCGTATGGTCCAATCCGACACCTTATCCCGTCTGCAACATCTGAACCTGGAGGTCAACGACAATGACGCTGTCGTCCTACTACCTAATCATCTGTTCGTGTCAAGGATAGACATCAGCCTAGCGGACCGCATTCGTGCAGTCCTCAAGACAGATCAGGTAGTACTCGATGCTCTTGCTGCAGTGAAAACCAGTGGGATCTTACCGATGAAATCCACGTTGAAGGACTGGATCTTCGACGACGGCCTAGTCTTCTATCAGAAACGCTGCTACATCCCCTTGGACGAGGAACTACAACGGGACATGGTCCAACGCTACCATGACCATAAACTCATGGGACACCCAGGACAATTTGGCACCCTCGAACTGTTACGGAGGGACTACTGGTGGCCCGGCATGGCGTCGTTCGTCAAGAACTACTGCTTAGGATGCGCCATATGCCAACAGGCGAACGTTAACACTCATCCCACATCTCCTCCATTGCTACCAATTGTAGCAAAACCAAATGCCCTGTCATTTGAAGTTTCCTCCGTCGACTTTATCACCGACCTGCCTCCCTCCACCAACCGTTACGAACGAGTCTTCGACTCAATCATGGTCGTGGCAGACCACGATGCTACGAAGGGGGTAATTCTTATTCCCTGCACAAAAACGGTCGATGCCCTCGAGACAGCTAGACTCTACCACGACTTCGTAACCAAGCGCTTTGGAGTACCGTCACGGATCATCTCCGATTGTGGCCCTCAATTCTCCTCCAAGGTCTTTCAGGAAATCACACGCCTATCGGGCACTCAGTCATCTATGAGCACCGCCTACCACCCTCAGACCGACGGAGGCACGGAACACATGAACCAAGTAGTCGAAGCCTACCTCCGGAAGTACTGCACAGACGAACCGGACAAGTGGACTGAACACCTGACCGACCTAGAGTTCGCACATAATCAGCGTACTGCGCAAGGACGTAATGCCTCGCCCTTCTTTCTCATGATGGGCTACAATCCCCGTGCCGTACCCATGGTAACCCTGCCAACGAATGTACCCTCCGTGGAGGAATGGCTCTCCAATCTTCAGAAGGCGAGGGCAGAAGCCCAAGCCGCCCACGAACTCGCACGCCAGCATACGGCCGAGCGTGTCACCAAAGCCTTCACCCCGTTCAAGAAAGGTGACCTGGTATGGCTCGATGCCAAGAACATCAAGTTCTTCCAAGTCCCTAAGAAGTTTGCGCTGAAGCGTCATGGACCTCTCGAAATCATTGAAGTACTCGGACCACTAACCTACCGGCTGAAACTCCCGGCACAATGGAAGATACACGATGTATTCCACGCCACCCTCTTATCACCGTACCACGAGACCAAGGAACACGGCCCCAACTTCTCTTATCCCCCACCCGATGAAGTCGAGCACGAGGAACAGTGGGAAGCAGAGGCCATCGTGGGACGAAAGAAGCACGGAAGGACCTACCGTTACCAAGTCAAATGGAAGGGATATCCACCATCGGAGAACTCGTGGGAACCCGAGTCCAACCTGAAGAACACCGCAGAACCCCTTGACACCTATAAGAAGGAACACCCCCTACCTCAGAAAGGGGGTAAGAAATGCAAATGCTAACCTTCCCAACCTCCTCTCGCTACCCTCGCTATGTCCTCCTACTCTCGTTCTACCGCGGCCGTCCGGGCGGCGCCCCATGCCCTGCACCGACTCCTTGTTGAAGTCGCCAACCTTCCCAATGACACATACGACCGCTACCTTGCTCAAGTCGCAAGCAACCCCCCTCTGTATAATGCCCTCATCGCTATCCGAGGGGCCAATGGTGCCCTCTCCGAGGTGAAGAAGTCACTCCTTCTCGTCGAGAAGATGGAGGAGCGACTCACCAAAGCACGCTGCCAGCTCACACTATCGCTCGACTCAACAGTGGACATCCTCGCCCGTTCTCCATTGGGGACTCAGATCCCCGGT